GGGCATCTGGTTCGACCCTCAACTGTCCTTTCTCCCCCATATCCGTGCCATGACCCGCTCTGCCTTCCCCTACTTCCGCAACATTGCCCAACTCCACCACTGCCTCACTCACCCCTCAGGCCACCTCAGGGCTCGACTACGGAAACTCCCTCCTTGTCGGCCTCCCCAGCTCTTCCCTCCACAAGCTGCAGATCATCCAGAACTCTGCAGCTCGTGTCCTCTCCAGCACCAGGGTCCACTGGCTCCCCGTAAAATCCTTGTCCTCACCTTCAAGGCCCTCCACGGCCTTGGCCCCTCCTACATCTTTGACCTGCTGACCCCCTATCAAACTGTCCGCTCCCTCCGCTCAGCAGGCTCCGGCTTGCTCCACGTCTCACGCCCTACCCGCCCTACCATCGGCAACCGGGCTTTCAGTGTCTCTACCCCCACCCTTTGGAACTCCATTGCACAGTTCCTTTGCTTTGCTCCCTCCTTTGCCTCCTTCAAGACACGACTCAAGAGCCTCCTTTTCGACCGTGCCTTCAGCTCTCTCCTACCTCTCTGCCCTCCCTCACCCCAGCCCTGCCCCCTCCCACGCTCTGGTCCTGATCCCAGACTGTTCAGCGCCTTGGGACGTCTCCCGACATGAAGGGTGCTTTACAAATGTAATTTTGTTGTTGTTCATGGAAGTTAGAACTGAGATTGTCGCAGGAGCAGATTTCTAGAAGCTCAACCTGCACTTGGAATTTTCTATTTAAGACTTCTTTTGACAATGTTACAATTTAGAATCTGTGCATTTTGAGTGGTGTACTAGTGTAGGAACAAGTGGAACGTTACTCAACATAATGATTATAGTCCTTCCATTTGATATAACGCCTTCAATTTCAGGAGGTTTATCTCAAAGCGCTTCACAGGATTTATTGTAAGTTTAGTGAAGATGAGCTCTATATTATGTGAAGAATCATGGCATGTCGTATATAGGGTTGGCGTGCAAACCATCTGAGATTCAATGGTTAATAAACTATGTGGATCTCGGGTTGTGGATTTTGTCCAAAGGGAATTGATTTAGTGTGGCATCAAACCTAACGTATTTTCAGATTTACATGGCACCTTGCCAGTTCCTGCACTTGCAACAATTATGGGTAACAATGCACTTAAGAGAAATTCCTCTTCTCTTCATGTAGCATTTTAGAGGGTGGAGAATTTGGCAAATTCTTAAATGCAGCCTTAATTTTGAAGCCAAATTCCTATTAAGTTCTTTTAAGATCAACAGAAAACTGACTTCAAAGACTGAATTCAACAATCTGCCAATTTCTGCAAGTTCTAAGATGCCACATAAATAGAGTAAACACATCCAAATCTCCATGCCCACATCCACACCCACACCAAACTGTATGTCCATCTCCCAGTCCTTGCCAGGCTCCACTGGCTCTCTGTCTCTAAATGGATTGATTTCAAGATTCTTTTCCTCACCTACAAATCCTTCTTGCCCTCTCCGATCGACAAATTTGGTCTAACCCACCCCACCACCAAGCTTTCCAATTCAACTCTCAAAGCTCTGGAACTCCCTTCCTAAACCCCCTCCGTCTCCCACTTGGCATCTGCCCGCCAACGTATAAATGCAAGTTGTGGTTGTAAATCTGGACCGAGGTGCAATTTCTCGCTTGTCATTTTTTAACATGCCCAAATTCAGTTTGCTGTTCACCGCTCATTATTTATGTCAGGAATCTGCTGAGATAATTGTGAATATTTATGCAGGATGTTAATGTTGGTTTCCCATCCAAAGGTGACCGGCAGATAAAACAAGGTGCAGCACAGGAAGAGGCAGATTGACATAATACAATCTTACAGTTTCTTATTATTCGGTGCCTTCAGATGACAGAGCCAAATTTATGCCAGTTTATGCTTTTTGGCTTCGCATAAAAAACATTCAAGTCACACCTGGTTTAGAATTAAGATTGTGTTCCTTTATTACAAAATGTGTTTTGACAAAATGTAAGGTTTGAAAATGTGGTCAGCTGAAATTCCAGCAGCTGCTATGTTAAAAGTTAAAGTGTGCATTGGGAGGGGAGGAATTTCAGAAAAGGTTGGAATATTCATCGCAACCTCAGCAGCCCTGGAAAACAATGTGTCACAGAGCTCGGACTTGACCTGGACCTGTCAGTAGTTTCACTCCTTGCATTTGATATAGCTCCTTGTCACATCGTCGAGGTATCTCAAAGTGCTTCACAGGATATGCTATAAAGTGATGCGACTGTGTATAGTTTATGAGTGAAATCGTTAGCAAATTTGGGCAAAGCAATGTCCCACAAGCAGCCATGAAGTGAATGACCAATTTTATTTGGCCAGGACACTGGGAGAAACTCCCTTTCTGTTTTGAATAGTACCATTGGGATCTTTAACAATCCATCTGGACAGGCATATGGGATCTCAGTTTAACATCTCATCCAAAAGGTGGCACAATGCGAACATTGCACTGAAGTGCCAGGATAGACTATCTGACTTGCAAATCCCTATGTGGAGCTTGAACCCACAACCATCTGACTCAGCAAGAGTGAATATGTCTTTGTGGTGGTTAATTTAACTGCTTTGTCTAACCAAAAGCAATTGTGACAATGCGTTGCTCTTTATTATTGCTTGTCTTTCAGTCCGTGCATTTGTATTGAACCTGAAGCTATTCGTACCATTGCGTACCTGTGCGACGGAGACGCGAGGCTTGCTGCCGTAAAACCGTATTACAATGATCAATTACTGAAGTCTGGTAACCCTCCTAATAAATTGCTCATTCACTTTGTGGCTGTTTGTTGCAGTTACTATGTCAAATTAGCTGCTATATTTGCCTACAAATGCGCAGCCACTAAACTGGTTAGTAATTACCTGTGAAGCGCTTTGGGACTTTTTGATGTATGCTATATCAAGTGCAAGAATGAAGATTATTATTTCTACAATGCTCTGTTGGTTCTGCTTTTGGATTTAGGACTGCAGAGTGGTAGATTTAGCAATCCCTTCTCGTTGGAAAAAGACCGCAATAATAGCAGTTCATTTTGAAAGGAAGAGTTGTACACCTTAGGTTTGAGCCCCGCACTAAATCAATTCCTTTTGGGCAAAATCCACATCCCAAGATCACAGATAATAGCTGGTTGCATTCACTCCTCTTCTCCTCCACCCAGCACCGCGATCATCATCACCGCCAACAGCTGAGCAAGTCTCATCCTGATAATGTAACTCTTAAAAGTGAAAGATTACATTACATTAGGAGTATGCCCTTGGTAATTGATACTGTACTGGAAGCTAAATTGAGGCTTACTCAATTGTTATCCAACCAAATGGAAAAAGACTTGTATTCTTGCGCTTTAATTACAATTTTCAATACTTTCAACCTGTGAAATTTAATTTCTTGTCGAGTGCTTCAGTAAGTACTCAGTGATCAACTTAAACCTTGTTCCATGAGAGTCAATGAAACAACCACTTCTGCTTTTTAATATAGTAATGATCGTTTGATAATCCCTTTTTATGAAGCAGCCTTGAAAATCTCATATTTCTTGACCTGCCAATGTTCCACTATGGGATCTAAATTTGTTTTTGCGTATCATTGTTTAACCCTCTGCTTTTTTCATAATTTTACACAATACTAAATTTCAAGACAAAAGGCTCTTATAGGTTAAGACAAGATGGAATTTCAAGGCCTTTAACTTTGTGCTTTCAGAATGATATGTTCCTCCTTTGGTAGAAGTATTTGGGCAAATCTAATACCAAACGTGCACTCTGTTGGTGCGCTTGTGTGTGTGTGTGTGCGCGGGGTTCACCGTAGCCACCTGCCAGCAGCTAGCTCTTGGTGATAGTAAAGCCTCTTTCCAGTTGATCCATTGCATGGTGCTGGCCTTGCTTCAGAGGTTTGTTTTACGAGTAAAGACATTCCATTCTCCTTCTCCCGTGTACTTTCATAGCTGTTTAAATTTCACAGGTTCAGGAGATTTCCAGTTTAACGAATTAATTCTCAAAGCATCACTAGCGATTCAGCATTTTCTCCATTAACACTCCCCGCCACCCCCCCTCCCCATAAGACGTCAGTCATTAATCTTGATCTGGTCCTCAAACTTCAAGTTATCTACAAGATGCTTAGATCCCATTGCTAACCATAAAGTACCTAGTGTTAGTTGTGAAAATTAATCCCCCTACTTAATCTTCCTTAATCTTACTCATTGCTTACAATTTGAATAACCTGAATTGAACTAAACATAGGAGTGAACCATTTTAAACTCTCCACTACCTGAAGGAAGAGCTGATATATATACTATAAATATGTATATACTTTGTGACCAGAGGATTACACGACAACTTGCATTACTATCAGGACCTTTCACATGGATTGAGCTTCTTAAAATGCTTCACAGAGATGATGGTGAGAACATTAATCTTGTACTTTTTGTAACTTTACCTACATTGAATATTTCACCTATAAAATGCACAGTCATTGCACTTTACAATGCATTCTGTAAAATGCTTTGAGACGACCTCCCAATGTGAAAGGTGCAATACCAATGTAAGGATTATTTTTATTATTTGGTGGAAATGTTAGAGATTAAAGAAATATTTAAAGTCTTCTCCATAGTAGAGATTGTTTCCCAACCTATATCTAACTGTTTTGTTTAAATTCCTGTTGCAAAGTTATTGCCTTTAAAACCTTTACGAGAGTACACTTGATGGATTATTTTTGTAACTGGTTGTGTTTAGATGTGCAGAAGTTTAAGTACGTGACCAAATCTCTCATGCAATTCTAATGCATTTCTTCAGTTTCCTTTTTCTTGTGATCAAGTATTTAAGTCTCTACATGCACTCATTTGTTTGACACTTGGAACAGAAATTTCCTTTCTGATATTATCCATTGTTTTTTTGAGCAAAGACATCTGTATCCTGTCATTAAGTTTATGGGGGGAGGGGCGGAGAGGGAAGCTGTGATAGTTAAAATAATGCAATGCAGATGTGACATTCAATTCTTCACCTTATGTTCCCCTACACAGAATGACGGGCAGAGAATTCTTTGCTCGTTTTCCTACACTTTATCCCTTCCTTCTGAAACAACTGGAGACCGTCGCAAACACAGTGGACAGGTAAGAAACGCCCAGTGCCATTCCCAGAAAACTGTCCCTCCTAGAAATACCCGTATCTACCTCATTTTTTGCAAAAGTTGTTTCCAATTATTTTTTGTGCCTTTGGCTAAGTAATTAAATTTAACCCTAATAAACGCTTGGCTCTATGCAAGGCGTTAGGTTAGCTCAGTTGGTAGCATTCTCACCTCTTAAGTGCATCTTAAAGATCCCATGTCACAACTCAAAGAAATCCTACAGATTAATTGATCTACTTCATGGCTGTTTATATAGCTTGCATTTATATAGCGCCCCTCACGCAGAGTAGCATCTCAGAGTATTTTGCAGAAGTTAGCTGGCGCTATTGGTTGCTGCATTTACCTACAAAACCAGTCACCACATCTGAGTAATTATCTGTGAGACATTGTCACGCTTGATGAAACAAAAAATCCAAGCTCATTTTTGCTGACTCTTCCAGTCTCTGCACCTGTAGTGTGACTGCTTCACGCTTTATGTGGTGGACGTGGGAGTATTTTTGTTACACCGTACACATTCAGGAATAGATGCAAGCGATAATACTGGGGAAGCTCTTAATTGTTTACCTGAACCGTCAGGCCTAGAGGGCTATAATTAACCCGAATGTTTATTGGTTGGAGAAAATAAGTAACCACTTTTACCAGAGTGACTGTTAATATTTCCCCGAAATGAAGTAAATGTGAGGTGCAGTTTGTTATGGTAAAAGCAGAAATTTGCACGTTATGAATATTTTCTACACTCAGGGTAGCTGAGCGTTTTCACGTGAAATCACTTTCTTTTTGCAAGCTCAGCATCTACCCTGACTGATCCAAACCTCTGCTCCCAGTGTTGGGCTTGAGCCGCTGCTGCTCTATCCTGGCTTTGGCTCGACCCACTGCTCCCAGTTCTGAGCCGTGACCCATCCGGATTCAGCACACTGCTGTTTTATTCCTGGTTCCATTTCTATCAACGATATTTGTTTCAACACAAAATTTACATTCACAGACAAAACAACATTCTACATCCAATGCAAGTTTATTGATTTGCTGGTGGTGATCCCTTTTGCAATTGAGCCACAAATTTGGTCCCACTGCCTTGTGATTCACAAAGATGTGAAAGTATCCCCATGTTGCTATTTAATGTGAAAATGAAGTTAAATCTTGGCTTACATTCTCAATAGAACCCCCCAAATTCTAATTAATTGGCTGCTCATCTCTTTGTTCTTTGTAGGACACTGCTGGCAGAAGGGGGTTTCAAGAGGAGTAGACGGCTATATGAAAGTTAAAGGCTTGAAGGGATATGGGAATAAGGCAGACGGGGTTGAAGGACAGCTTGCTCTGAGAGCTGTTGCAGACTCGATGAGAATAATAATGATCCTTGCATTATTTTGGCCTCATGCGCTATCAATTTCTACGATTCTAATTTATCCATCACAAAATTCACCTCAACTCTAACCAATCTCACTGTTTGGTCACTCAATCCACAACTGTTGTGGGACACTGATGCTGGATTTCGCCCACATAACATACACTCCACTTTACAGTATATTCTGTGAAGCGCTTTGAGACATCTAGAAGACGTGATCAGGCACTTTATCAAATTAAGCGATTATTATTATTATAAATGTAGGCTGCTGACCTTAAAATGTTGTAAATTGAAATCTAGTTTTAAGAATTTTTCTTGCAGAGTATGTTAGAGCGGGTATTCCCTGGTACTCTGAAGGTACAGACAATATCAGTGGTTAAATGGTTATTAAAAGGTTTAAATAGTTGTAGATTCATAAAGCATCTGATTCACGGAATGCGTTGGAGAGCACTGAACAAAATCAGAGTGAAAATAACAAATGGAGGAGGGGAAGGGCATCTGACCGACATCTTGCACTTTGGACGGAGGGCAAGCACCAAAAGATTAGAAAATGGATGGATTTCCAAAAATTCATTTGACCAGGTTACTTAGGAAAAGACTTAGTTAAAGGGGGAGTAAATGGGATCAAAGAGACAGCTGAATATTGGGGTAGATATCAGAAAATGTAGGGCAATATATAATCATGAATAATGCTAAAATGGTTAACTGGTGACCAGATCTGGGATTCCAATGATACCATTGTGTGTAAAATGTCTCAAACTGTGGGCAATACAGATTGTATGAGAAAATGATTGGTTTGGAGCTGAGGGACGTCCTTGGAAGGGACCTATTGATTGAGCTCCTAAACAGATAAACAAGACAGAGAGGTGTAAGAGCTGGTAATATATCCACTGTATTAATAATAATAATAATCCTTGCATTTGATATAGCGCTTTTCACGTCGGGAGGACGTCCCAAAGCGCTTCACAGAACACACTGTAAAGTGAATTGACTGTATATTTGTGGGCGAAGGCGGCAGCCAATTGCGCACAGCAATGTCCCACAAACAGTCGTAGATTGAAAATGACCAATTTATTATTGTTTTGGTTTTTGGAGGGATTATTATTAGGCTCTGTGTGGAGTAAGGAAACTTGCCCAAGGTTTCGCCCTCTGCCTGGAATTGAACTCAGGTCTCTCGCTTGCAAAGCGAGTGCTCTAACCACTGAGCCACAGGACTCCTCAAATATAACAAGTATATTAAATATAACAATCAAATGAAACCATTAAGCTCATTTGAAACTGTTGCTTACAACTTGTTTTGGAATGTAATTTATCTCGTGAGATTACAATGCTGAAATGTTTCTCCACCATTCCATTCCTGAGAGTTCATACGCTAATTTCACTGCATCAATGTTATTGGAGCTCTTGCGCACTACATTGATAGGACCAAGGATCTTTGTCATTCTGGACAACTATTTGCTTCCCTAGGTGATAAAAGTTTAAACCATTCCATAATTTTAGCTGTGTTTTGAACCCGAAGAGTTGAATAATCCCTTATTTGGGAATTCTTAAAAAGAATACAAACCCATTTTACTCAAGCACCTGAGGTTAAGGTTTATAAATTTTGCCTTCTGCGTGTATTTGAGGAGTTATTTCCATGCTTCTTATAGATCTAACTCTCAGGAATGTGCACTTTTGGATATCTCAGTGCTAAAAAAANTTATTTTGATCAGCCGATATCTGACACGTGTGGAAACTGTGCTTAAAAGTATCCACACCAAAGTGAGTTCACATTTGTATACCATCTACACATGGAAATTTCCCTGTGTATAGAATACAATGCACATCTCTCATAGATGTCTACCTAATTCCAGAGACTCTTTGGTGTAGGTTGGCAAGAGTGAAGACTTGGGGACTCCAGATTGTGCATTTGGAGTACTGCTGAAGTTAGCTAAAATCACATAGCTTGCCTTTGAGAGCACTGTTTGGCAAGCTTCCCACTATTTGTTCAGCAAGAACCACCCTACTCATTTTTCTCACAGTGTTAACTGGTGGGGAAAAAAACCCTCTCCCTGGAATAAAACAATTTCTTCATATAGTCAACCAACATGAGAAAAGATGGAGAAATGAAATTAAAAGTTCTACTTTGCCAATAAAATGGCAGATAGATAGCAAATGGCCTTCTTCTGTTCCTATGTTACTAACCTGTATTGCAATCTCCTCCCTGGAAAACCAGAGGATCGTAAGTAGTTCAGAAGATCAGATCTTGTGAGGAAATGCACCATATGTACTTTAGCATTCAAACAGGCAGAAGAATAATGAGTAAAAGGGTACTTGAAGGGTGAAACAATAAATGCATGTTGTTTTATCCAAAGACTTGCCCCAATTGTGACCCCTAGCTATACATTAAAAAATAATATTGTAGTGTTTTAGAGGCTGCTACACAATAAACTACTAACAATAGTTTTATAAAGAGCCTTTCATGTATTAAAAAAAAGCCTCAAAGCGTTTTACAAAATAAGATTAATTAGAAATGACTTGAATCTTGTTATGCAGGTGAACTTGGCAGCTAATTTGCCCCCAGCAAAGTCCTATGATTGAGATGAGTAGCTAATTGACTATGATCCTTGGGATGAATTTGGATGAGTAGGAGAATATAAGCTAAGAGATAACCTGAAGAAAAACGTGGGGACGCTTTCACATCTTCCAGTATCTCATGGCAGATTGGAACCTAAATTAATGGCTTGATCGAAAAATAAATAAAAGTATAAATTTGCACTTAATAACAAAGGTCATTGCATAGAAAAACATTTGAAAACAGAAGGGAGTTTCTCCCGGTGTCCTGGCCAAAATTGATCATCATTGGCTGTTTGTGGGACACTGCAAATTGTCTGTTGCATTCGCCTACAAAATACACAGTCACTACACTACACTGTGCATCCTGTGAAGCACTTTGAGATATCCTTCTTGTGTGAAAGGCACTATACCGAATGAAAGAATTAATATTATGGTAGCTCATCTGCACCATTTTATAAAAAGCTTGTCATAACTTTCTTGCATTTAACATAGCAATTCTCTTTCATTTTCCACAAGCCCTCACGCCTAATTTATTCTCTTTCTCTTATTCCATCCATGCAGCGAGGCTGGTGTGCTGAAGCTCCATCCTAGCCTGTTCTTATTGCTTCTTGTACTGGGCAGATTGTTTCCATCTCCCATGGATGGCACCTCTTCAGCTCTTAGCCTGGCCCCATTTGTGCCATTCATCATAAGGTAAGTTACTGTATTTCACAGAAATACTTTGTGGGGGGTTCCACAAATGTATCCGAAAAATAATGACTTAAGTTAATGAGCACATCCATATATTACTTGTTACAGGGAAACTTAGTTAATGTCAAAGGTAATAAGTTATTTAGCCTAGTAGCATTATATTTCAAGATCCATGCCATGTTTTCCAATATGTAATGTGTTGTCTAGATTGTCATGAGCAAAATATAGGTTCAAATATAGATGTTGTGACATCAATACAAAGAAACTACCGTAATGCTTTATCCAGGTCACTTGAAACATTAGCAGACTTGACCTCTTAATCTAGTTTTTATATTGATGGTCTGCTTTCTGCCCACGTGCAATACGATACAAATATAAATTTACATTGATGTAGTGCCTTTCACGTCCCAAGGCACCTAATAATCCTGGTTTGGCATTGAGCTGCGGGTGGCAGCTGAGGGGGGTAGGGAGGGGACAGATGACTGAAAGCGTGGTCAATGGGATAGGTCTTGAGACGGACATCGAAAGAGGTTACAGATGGAGAGAGTCAGAGGAACTCCAGGTTGGAGTTCCGGGTGGGTGGTGTGGGGGGATAGGCTGAAAGCCCAACCACTTATAGTGGGGTGGGTAGGGAGGGAGAAATGAGCAGGCCTGTGCCCGCTCAGCTCAGAGAGTGGCCAGGTCAGTGTGGTTTGAAGAGGTTGCAGAGGTAGACTGGGGCAAGGCCATGGAGAGATTTAAAGTTGAAGATGAGGTTGCTGAACTCGATCTGCTGGGGGAATGGGAAGCCAGTCTAGCCTGGCGAGGATGTGGGTGGAGTGACAGGCTCACAGAACCCAGTATGGGAGAGTACATGCACTGCAGGGGTTGTCTGCAGGTCATGTGGGCATCGTGCAGTTTAGTTACTTGCTATTAAATTTCCTCAGAGCATCTCATCGAATCCTGTAATAACTCACTCTTTCTGGCACAGAAGTTACATGGAGCAAAAATGATTCATTCAAAGCAAAATCTAAAACTGTATTTCGGTTGTTTGGAAACCGTAATCATTTCCATTATGGTGACATGAAATACCATGAGCCACTTTGACAATGTTCTAAATATTTCTTCAGATTATTAAGTCGAAGATCTCGCCACCCACCTTAATAAGGGGGTGAGAGATATGTCTGTAACTTCATTTTTAAGTTGGAAGCTGTCGAAAGATAAACACCAATGCATTCTATGCTTCAGTTTAACAATGGAATTAGCACATTTCGCTGAACCACAGGCATGCAAAGAGGAACTTATCAGAAGTAACATTTCTGGACATTCATTTAAGTGGTCGCGGAATCTGAGTTGGATCATTAACGTAACCAGCTCACAGCAATTGCTTCATCTTGAAATCTTAAGTTATCAAACATTTGTCCAAAATGCACTGTTTACTCTGTAGAATCCTATAGATTCTGGTTAGAGCACTCGCCTCAGAAGTGAGAGACCTGGGTTTGATTCCTGGCAGGGCGAAACCTTATGCAAGTTTCCTTACTACACACACACACACACACATATACATAACTCTGTTTACCTAGCAATAAGTAGGGACCCATTTGGTCATCGATTAGCAGATCGCTTTCTGGGGGGTAATAATCCCTTTTTTAAAAAAATTTGGTCACTCAATCCACAACTGTTTGTGGGACACTGCTGCGTTTCGGCCACAAAATATACAGCCAATTCACTTTACTCTGTGAAGCACTTTGAGACATTTCGTTGAAGTGATAAGGCATTATATCAAATGCAAAGATTATTATTATTAACAAAATTACCAACTCCTATCTTTTCATTTATGATTTATTTTTAGATGATTTTAAAAAAATTGTGCAGATAGAAATTACATAGAAAGGGTTAGTGTGAATCCAGTTGAAGAATACTAAGCCTTACATTTGATATCGCACCTTCCCACATTCGCAGGAGCACCTCACAGGATATACTGTAAAGTGAAGTGTGTATTTGTAGGCAAATCCAGCAGCCAATTTGCATACAGCAATGTCCCATAAACAGTTTTTTTTTATTTGGGTGGATTGGTGGCCAGGACACAAGGGGGAAAAACTTCCATCTTATTTTGAATAGTGCCATGAGATCATTAACATCCAAGTGGACAGGATGAATGTAGAATTAACTGTATTCTGTATCCTGGGACAAAAAATAACTTGCATTCAACCTGAATCTTGTAATGATTGGTACAACATCTAAATGCTGACAGCATCTCATTGAAGATCCAAAGTGCAACATTTGCCATTTTGCTCATTTCAGTAGTTTTGAACTTTAGAAGCTTAAAAGTCCTTTGTCAGTGTTTTTTTTTAAATGAGCACTTAGTGATTCACTACATATTTCCTGCTATCGCATCAAGAATGAATGCTGTATGGCATCCACCTCCGCCACATTGTCTGCCTCTGAGCCTACCTTACCACAGAGGCCACCAAAACATTCGTCTATGCATTCATCATCTCCCGCCTCGACCATTCAAATACCCTCCTCACCGGTCTTCCCAGCTCCACCATCCATAAAATCCAGCTGATCCTAAACTCCACGGCCCACATACTTACCCATACGAAACTCCTTATTTCCATCACAGCAGTTCCAGCCAGGCTCCACTGGCTCCCTCTTGCTGAACGGATCGACTTCAAGATCTTCACACTCGTTTTAAAATCCGTTCATGCCCTGGCATCTCCCTAATTCTCCGACCTGCTGACTCCCAACTCACTTCTTTAGTTTAAAGAAGTAATATGTTCCCTAATGTTAGCAATTTGGAAAGATGTAAACTATTAATCTCTCAGTAGTGTTAAAATTGGTGCAATACAACTTCTACAGTGTATAAGTGGGCAGAATATAGTCTGAATGTATAGTTGGATGTGAGATTCTTCACTAAGCGAAGTCTGTGACTAATTGGTTGCATTTATTGATAAAATCTGCTCCAGTGGAGAATGAAGAATTATAAATGTGAATTGCATGGAGGCCAGAACACCCACTTGGTCTTAGCCTTTCAGACCATTTTTCTCTTAAAAAATTTAAGATCCCGCAGAGTGAACTTATTTGAATTCAGTCTCAGTTTGAAAGCCGTTTTCCTCACTTAGCACCACCTTATAAATACTTTTAAGAGATACTAAAGCGTTTGTTACTAAGCCGACACACTCATGGCAAGACTGCATCAACAGCAAGACGTCGGGGAGATGGAATGGAAGAGAGCTCACTAAATCACCCACCCTATCCAAACACATCCAGACACTCAGCTGAAATAGAGCTTTGATTGATGCGGTGCCTCCCTTTTCTTTCATTCTTGTTCTTAAACAAAGATCCAGAAGATCAGGCTAAATGGGGATCCTCTTGCTCCAAACAGTCTCAAGAGAACGTTACTTTATAAATGAAAATGTCTCCATCAAAGTGTAACTAAAATCTCGCTCCAGACCAGCTGAAAACAAAAGGAGTTTGGGTGGTGTTAACAGTATATTTGCAGGCTAAGAGTAGGTGGAATTTGGGGTCCAAGGTGAATCCTGAAAATAGCCCTCATTTCCACTCACAAAAAAGTGCAGACAGAGGCTGACATTCTAAAGTGGTAAACAGATGCTAATTGATGTAAGGGTCCGTCCGAGTCACAACAAGACTGTGCTTGTACTTGTACTGCAGGGATACTGTTACAGTGAAATGCCAGACCCAAATGTGTGTGGCACTGCCTGTGCGAGCAGTCAAACAACTGTCATACACTTCATGTAGAGTAGATGAAGGAACGATTGAAGAAGGTGGGGATATGTTACATTAGCTGACTCCACAAATAAGAGAATTTAACATGGCCCACAGTTTGGTAGTCTGAATTACATTGCGTGCAGATATTCAAGCATTTGGATCTGAGTTTGGAGTGGGTGGTGGGGGGTAAATGACTTCAGTAGATTTACCGATCAAGTTGCACAAGTGAGGAATAAACGTGGCTTAACTCTAATTGGATTCTTCATTCCTTTTGCAAATCTCGCAATTAAGATCCCCATTGTGAATTGGTAAAGTGATAAACTGCTAGAGAAAACTAAGCAGTTTAAATTTCGGCATTATGCTGAGCCATCCAGTGGCTTTCGGGAATTATACATTTGCCATAATCTTAAATACAAACATTGGATTCTTCATAATCTCTATTAGACCATATATTGTGACTGATATTCTGAGAGCTCCTTTGATAACAATAAAAGAACAGAGACTGCACTACATTAGTCATGTAAAGATGAGATAAAAAGGGAGTGATTCACTGCTCATATCATGTGCAATCTGTTCTATTTGGTAATTTTGAAGTTTTGGTTGTTTAATGGAAATATAGAGCAGCCCTCTCTGATCTGGACTAAAGTTTGCATTTGGGCTTCCCCCGGAGAAATGAGTCTGCCTTCGTAATGTTGGCTATCTGGGGGAAGAGACTTTCATTCCATCCACCCACATAATACTGTAACTGCAACACTTTACTGCTTTGCTATATAGTTTGTGATTAGCGCTTAGGACAAAGTGGTAAGTGGAGCCTTGCTTGCAGCACCCCAGATTTTCAATTAGTTTGTGCCATCTTTTTACTCCAGGAACATCAAAGATAAAGCTTCATCCTCAGATATTGCAGGTTGGAGAAATGCAACCCAAGTGGCAAGAGGTGCCTTGAAACCTTACATTGGCAGCTGACTAGTCAGAGCACCCTTAGACCATTCTAATTAATCACAATTAATTTAATTCAGGCAAACTTTTTGTCAAACATGTGTTTGTAGTCTAATTTATCAAGAATAAACAATCCCTGGGGAGGGGAAGGTGGGGTGTCTCTTGTGACAGACTTTTGTTTGTTGGAAATAATGGGTGGTTCCATGGTTGTTCATATCAGGAAGACAGGAATATAAGCAGAGGAAAGCTAAGGACCACCTTACAATTACTTTCAAGTGATGCTACAGTGCTTGTTAGTAAGGCAACACGCTAGTGGCAAGACCACATCAAAAGCAAGCAATTGGAGAGATGGAATG